CTTAAAAGTTGTTTTTCTAAAAACATATTTTAGGACTGCTTAAAGATGGAAAATAAGCAATTTACCTTTTGAACACTCACTTTCATGCGTATGCCTGGAAAACCTCAACAAAAGCCTATTTTAAAACAGCATATCCCAACTTATTTTCACTAAAGTTAAGAATAATTATTTCTTGGAGATTCTTTTCTTTCGCCCATATGCCCCCTCCCCTGGCTACTTGAATGGCAGATTTGCAAGTACAATTTCATCTGCACAGACGAACAATAGCTTTCAGTAGCACAAAGGACTTCACCACCCCGGATTCAGACGCAATGCCTCTTGCTCTGATAATAGCTTCTGAAAAGATTTTGTAATGCAGAGAATTAATACATGATTATTTCCGCCTGGCTTCTCTCATTTATTAGAATTCTGTGGCAAATTCCAAATTAAAAATAGTTCAGTTAACAGCTTTAAAAAATACTTTTAAAATATTTTAAGACACCTGTCCCCCAGATCTTTAAGTTTGCTCACTTGTCCTGGCCTGAAAATAGCTAAAAATTAGGACCAGCTCTCAAGCAATAGCTACTAATTTTAGTAAATACGATTGTGAATTTAGAATGAAAATTCCAAATAATGAACATCTAGATAACTGTAGGCAAACTTGTTAGAGTGAATCATTAATAGTCTCTAAAACTAATTTCTGGATTTTGTAGGGGGAAAGTCCTTTGTGATTAAAGAAACACCCATCCTCACCTCTGAATGCCCAGAGGAAAGGGAGGGGGCATTTCCCTCTTTTCATATCATTTCTAATAAAGGATTTTGCTGCTCTTTAAAAAAAAAAAAGTGCAAACACAGGCTGGGGGTGGAATCAAATTCCTTGGAAATGATACAAATAAATGCATCAACAACATTAGAAGTTTATTGATGGAAGTGACTGCTTGTGTCTATAGCTTGTTTTTTGTACAAACATTTTTAAAATTGTAACTTAGTAACTGATTCTGGGCTGCTCTTATGAACTGGTTACATTACACAGACTTAGAAAAATACATTTTGTGACCTGTCAACAAATATTTACCATAAAATCCTCTATTTTTGTCATAGTGTTGGCTTTCACAATCGAGTCTGGGTATAATGGATATAGACTCTTCCTTTCTTTTTTCCTTTTAAGCTTACCACATGGACAACTTTAAGAAAAAGTTCTGAAGACATTTTGCCATAAGTTCCTCAGAAAAGTGTGTGAGGGAAGTCCCGGCACCAGGTCTTATGAGCACCGTTTAGATCAAGTGAGGACAATGTCTGCAGATTCTCATTTCTAAGAGCAGTTCCAACAACTCAGCTGTGATTCCACTTACTTTCAATCACAACTTTTGTAATACCGTACATTCTGAATTTTAGAGTTGCAGGTGGAGATGATTGGGAAAAAGAAATAAGGCAGTGTTGTTCTTGACTCTGCTGTCAAGAAGCATGTAAACTGATGCAAAGTTGACCTGATTGTTCCTGACTATTTAAAAATGCAAAAGTCCTGTATCAGAGAACTCAGTGCCCAAGCACTGATAAGTGGCCTCCCACCTCCTGGAGGCAGAGATGGCAGTGCCCCTTGTGCGACCTGCTTCTGAGGCCTGCTCCTTTCTCCATCCTCCTCCTCCTCACTGCTCCAAACTTTCAGTAAAGCCAGCGGGGTACAGAAGGAGGTGTTCTGCTTTTAAAAGATGTCTGACTGTAAATGTCAAAGTCATAAATATTTAAACATGAGTTTCTTTCAGTTTCAACTCAAGACTGATAAGATGCTTCTAATTAGTCTGGGCTCTCTTCCGGACCCAGACCTAGGAAAGCACCTGCCATCCACACAAAATTGCCAACAGGAGGGGGGCACTGAGGTACAAGGAGCCCGGCCTGGGTCAGCTTGAGCACAAGCTTCTCATACAGCTACCAGCCTATTCACTTTCCTCACAAGTCACCTAGTTAACAGGCCTTTTGACTTTTAACTCTACAAAAAAGAAAGCAAGTGAAGTAATTGTAAAGTTATTTAAATGCAATCACTTTGCCCAGAAGGGCTTCAGTATATGTTCGTTCTTTCCGGGATTCTCAGGGCCTGACTGGCAGCCAGTGTTCTCCTGCATCGCCTCCTGCCAACACTAAGTAGGGCAGATGGAACTTACAGGGGTGAGGAGCCCCAGGAGTGCCTTTTGGGTTCCCCCAGAGGAGCCCACGGGCCATTGGGAAGCAAAGGTTTTCAGAAAATTAACGACCCCAAGGGCCTGAGACCTCAAAGTCAGAGTCTGCCCTGCCCAGAGCGCGTCTGATTCAAACCGTCCTCACCTCATCCCAGGCGCCCACCTCACCTGCAGAAAGGGCTTCACAGATGGACTGGGGAGGAGACGGGGCGGCCTGCGTCCAGCCTGGGGACCACAGTCGCCTCTTCTTAGGGGCAGCTCAGGCCCCAGCAGAAGGGAGCTGGAGTGACCGGACTCAAGGGTATGGGGGTCCCCCCTTCCCTTCTCTGAGGGCACCCGGGACCCAGCTGGGGCCCAGGGAGGAAGGACGCAAACTCTGGGCAGCCTCTCTCCTTGACATTTTTCTTTGACCTTTGAGTAAATCCCGGTGAGCTGAGTGAGGGGCAGTGGGGCAGGCCCCCCATTCTTCTTCCTGTGTGGGCTGAGCGGTCGTTTCAGGAGAGGAGTGAGCCAGGGCGCGGGCTCCCTGGGAAGAGCCTGGGGAGGTCCCCGGTGATTTCCCCTCCTGCGGGCCCTCCTGGCCCGAGCGGTTGGCCTGGGCATCGCCGCCTGTCTCCCCTGGAAGCTCCTGCGCGTTCGCTGCCTCTCACTGGCACGAGGACAACCCGGCAGCGTGTGTGCCCTGACTCGCTGCTGGCGGTGTCCGGGTGCCCGCCGCCCAGGCGGGTTCCCGGCTCCGCGAGGCGCTAGTGGGGCCTCGGGTCGCTAGGGTACTAACGCGTCCGCCACATGCCATGGCACTGCCGGTCCACTTGGAGTCTGGCCGGTCACTGAGCGTGTGTACTTCTCGTCGCCCGCTGGAAGATTCGAGAAGTCCCAGTTCCCGGGCGCGGCGGGCCACGTGGACGGGCGGGTTTTCCGACGTCTGGGCGGGAGTCCGACCCGGACGCTGCGCCTCGCTGGGCGCGGGGACTGCCCGTCACTTGCGTCCAGGCGGGGAGAGGTACTTTCGTGGCCGTCGGGCGGGCCGGGCGCGGGGACCGCCTCCGCCCGCGGTACGGCTGCTTTGTTGTCCCAACGGAGTCTGCGGGGCGAGGCGCCACCCGGCCCCGGAGCGGGCTCTGGGTAGCACACTCACCCGCGGGCCTTCCCAGCCTAGGAGGCCCCCGTCCCGGCTCGAGGTGGGCTGCCAGGGACAGAGCGGGCCTGGCCGGGGTCGAGGCGCGCCCCCCGTCCCGCGGGACCCCAGTTGGCTGGCCAGGGAGGGCTCGGATGGTGGCGGGAGCCCCTCGCGACGACCGTCATCGAACCGCGCGAAGGGAGGGCGCGCGGGGCCGCGGAGACCCCGGCCCGCGGGAGAGCGCGCGCCCCGCTCCCCGCTCCCCCGTGCGCGCGCGCCGGGCCCCTCGGGCTGGTTGGGTGGCTGGCGCGCGGCGGGGCGGGGGCTGCGCTGCCTGGGGCGGGGCGGGGGCTCTGGGGGCTCCTTCCCGCCGGGGCAGTGAGCCCGGGCGCGGGCGGGAGGGGAGGGGAGGGGAGGGGAGGGGGCTCGGCGCCCTCCGCGCGGCCACAGTGCGCGGCGCGCCTCGTTCCCGCGGGGTCCCCGCGCCCTCGGGCCCCTCCCGCAGTCCACTCCCGCCGCCACGGACCTCGCCGTCCTCCCGGGCCGCGCATCCAGGCAGGAAAATCCGGGCGTCTTTTCTCATTTAACCCGCGTTTCCATTAACTCAGTCCCGGCGCCCGCTAATCCGCGCACCGAAGGCAAAAGGAGGCTAATTAATGACCAGCTTTTCCCGTCAAGACCGGCGATAATTGCTTTGGTGGCCTTTATGATTACAAGATAAAAATGGGCCCGGCCTGACATAAGAGGCACTGTGTACACTCGGAGACAGGAGGAAATGGAGAGTTGGGAGGCTGAATGCGGAGCAGAAAATTACTAATAGAAGAGAGATAATGAATAGGCCGGCCAGGCATTCATGGGGAAAAATCCATTTTGTTACCACGCGAAATTAGGTGGTGGAAAGGAGTTCGCTAATTGTTCTCATCTTGTAGCAACCAGGACTGAGGCAGGGGCGTGCTTTTCCATTCATTTCCCAGTAATTGTGGGGGGTTGTTGGCCGGGAGTCGTGGGCGATTTGCCCGCGGCCCTTCCATTTTCCTGCGGTGTTTTTAATTGTCGCTAATACACCTTCTAATGAAGCTAATGAGGGGCACCGTGCGGCTCTCTGCCCATGGAAACCAGTGACATGCAACAAAAGAATTTTCTTATGTTTTGCACCCCTCCGTGAGACGAGGAGACTCTGGAGGGGTCCAGAGGCCTTAACTTTCTCACGGCTGGAGCAGACCACCCGTTCCCGTCCACTCTTAGGGCCTCAGCCGGGGCCAGCAGATGCCAGTGATAGTGACCCGGTGGGTGGAGGGGACTAGTGACTGCCATCGGAGGCTAATGGGGCCACATCCCGATGGCAGGGCCTCCTTGAGTTAAGGAGGGAGGAGAGGAGGAGGAAGCCCAGGCAGGCGCTGGGTTCTCCAGCACTTGCTGTACCTGCCTGGGAGAACGGCTGCCCCTGGTACGGGAGCGATGCACACTTCATGTACCTAAGGAAGCAAAATAGCTGCCAGACACCTCACATGGTGAAGTTCGAGGGAGGAGAGGGTGTGCTCTCTTGTCCTGGAGCGCACTGCAGGGTGGGTGCGGGTGTCGCTGGCCCCAGGTGCCCCTGCACAGCCCTCTTGCTGTACCAGTGCTGTGTCTCAAGTGGGGCTTGGCCCATCGCAATTGCAGGCAGAGGCTGGTCTGCTAGCAGGTCATGCACAGTACTGACAGGTCCCTCTCTCCTTGTCACACAGAAAAGCAGACTCACGCTTCTGCCTCATCAGGGACAGCAGGAAGACTCGACCAAGTTCATCCTGCTGACCTTCCTCTCTGTCGCCTGCATCATGGGGGTGCTCCTGGCTTCCAGCCTCATCTACTGCCTCCGCCACAGCTCCCGCGGCAAGCTGAAGGAGAAGCTGTCAGGACTGGGGGGTGACCAGGGTGCAGATGCCACCTCCGCCTACCAGGTAAAAAGAGACTCCTTTTAAAATGCTCTGTGGAACTTACCAACTGAACAGGCGGACTTTGGGCTCGTCTCTGGTGCCTCCAGATTCCTAGCTCTTGTTCACTTGTTCAGAGTTTGGATTCTTTCATGAGGACAGTCTGAAGCTTCTCATTAGCATTCATGTAAATACCTTGCAACCACAATTTTATGGCTTTATATTAATCTTACACTGTTCTTGGGTCTCTCGTGTTGGCACTGAAAGTGGGTTACTAATTAGAAATGTGGAAAAGTACAATCCATGAATTATGTATTATCTGTTATCTTTCTTAGTTTGGCCACTATTAATGAAACATGCCAGACTCGAAAGATGAATTGGTTGTGTAGATGTTTGAAGATGGCTCTTAAATCATTGGGTCTTATGTGGAAAGATCCTTTGACCTGATCTGATGCCACCCTTTGCTATTATTCAGATGAAGTGAACTCTAATGCTGACAAATGGGGCTTAGCCTCTGTCCCCCTTTGGCAGGGGCAGCTCTGTGCTAGGGTGGACACACCTGGAGCCAGCAGTGGGCGGGCAGGAACAGAATCCAAGAATTTGGGGGGTTATGTGGCATACATTTCATGTTTAGTGACATTCTATAATGAAAATATGACTTCAGTTTTAATAGTAATCAATCCCAGAATATATACAAATCAAGGCATTTGATTTCTTTACTATAAAAATATCATTTAAATCCAAGTATACATTCATGTTTGGGAAAATAAAATAATTCAGTCGCACTCTGTTTTCAAAGTTCAGTGAGCACTCTCTGTAAGACCCTCTCCATTGGACTGGACCTTTTGTCCTCTGCAGTCACATGACCATGACATGCACTGTCTTGTCAACAACTTGTGGCTCTTTCGATGTAAGGCCCATGTTACAGGTCAGAGTTGCCCAGGCGGACTCTTGGGCTCTTCCCAGAAAGTGCCTGTGTGTCCAGGAGTATGCCCACAGGCTGGCCTGAGCTGGCTGGTCCTTGCTCTCTGGACTGCCCTGTCTCTGCCCCATGTAAGGAGCTGGAGTGGATTTATAAAGCCTCTGTGCTTAAGAGAGACCAGGAGATAACTCTTCCTCCCATTTCAAAACCCTCAGCCTTGTCATTGAGTGGAGAACGCCTGGTTTCCTGGAGGGGTCACACGTCTGGTCAGAACCATCTTTTTCTCATAAAGGAATGGCAACTTCAAAAGTGTTGAGGATGGTATTTCAGGCAGGGTGTAGCTCTGCTTCAAAGCCAAAGGAAAATCACCTTTGAAGAAGCAGCCTGAAAAAAATGTCACATAAACTAGTAAGAATTTACCCAGAAATTCTCTTGAGCAGGACCATCAATATGGGTGCTAGGTCTTGAGGCCACGTCTGTCAGGACATAAATAAATCATCACACTAGTCCTGCGCCACGTGTGAGATGGAGATCACACAGGCGTGGATTTCTAGAAAGCATGGCATCCTTTGATATACTTTGAAATTCAAATATAAAATATTGATAGAATGGAAAGGTTGGACTTGCATGCAGAAATGACTGATTTTTACAAAAATGCAGGTTGAAATGCATACTTAGGAATGAGTGTGTGATAATTAACAGGAAAAAAAAATCTTCCCAATGACAGCTCTAATTAATAGTATCTGTAATTAAAATCATGCCCTTCCAGCAGGAAAATTGTTTGAATTTCTTAGAGTGACCTTTTTGTGTCCCTCCTGGGGGCATGGTGGTTAAGTTGATATTGATTTTATAATGAGCTCTGGTTTGTTTAATAAGAATCTGTAATCCAGACAATAAATTAAATGTGTGCTTTTCTTCAATCCAGATTAATAAAAAGGGGGAAAGACAGGGAAAAAACATTCCCTTTGAAAATATGATCTGGGAAAGTTTGGAAATGAAATGATGGTTAAGATTTTCTGTTGGGCTTGGCTCTGAAAACAAGTGCCTGTCAGCTCCTGTAGCGAGCGGGCTGCTCCCACGGAGGGGCCATGTCGTGGGAGGCGGTCCTAGCGCTGGGCTACCAGGGCTGTGTTCTCCTAGAGGATGGGGATTGCAGGTCAGCTTTGTGTCAGGAGCTAGGGAGGCCTCGGTGGACATAGTTACAGGTCGAGTAGCCACGTGGGCAGGCGGAGCAGATGTTGATTCACTGATGGGTACACATCTCTCTGGGATGACCATACCTGCCATTGAGATGCTCCTCAACATTAAAAATATTCTGAAAAGTCTTTTTTTAATATATTACAAACATGAAACAGTAAACTTCAGGGAAGGAGCTTGTTGCATGGGGTATTACTTTAGAGTCACCAAATGTCTGTGTTGGCTGGTTCTGGGATCAACGTGAGACTTCAGACAGACCTGGTGACTCCCTGACTGGTCCCCGGGGTGTTGGACAGTGGGGTAGGAGGCAGGATGCTCTTCTTCTACAGTTTCCAAAACAGAGTGTTGTGAGTCAGGCCAGAGGTTGCGACCTGGCAAGGCAGGATGCCAGGGCAAAGGACCGCAGTGAGGTCAGGAAGGTGCAGAGGCTCTGGGGGTGCCTGGGTGGTGTTCTGGGCAGCACTGGGGAATTCTGGTGGCACTGCTCCTCCCTTGGAGCCAGTAGGAGAGTCCAGTGTCACTGAGAGTTCACACCAGGAGCTGGGACCCCGTGACCCTGGGAAAGCATCTGTCCCCCAGGCCCCTGTGCCACAGCATGGGTGGTCTGCCCTGTGTGCATGGGGGTGGGGGCTCTGAGTGGCTGTGGAGCGTGAGGGTCCCTGAGACATCATCTGGCTCTCCTCAGCACGGTTCCAGAGCAATCCATGGCTTGAGCTCTTTGATTCTAAGTCAAACATCTGTGCGTTTCCCCTCCTGCACCAGAGGGGACTCTGCACAGAGTCAGGCCTGACAGAGCTCTCGGCTTACGTGTGTTCGGTGGGCGATGTTCTTATTGGAAACCAGATCTTTTTCCGTCCCTTTGGTAGACTCTCACTTTTGATGCTTTTCCAAACTACCAATCCCATCAGATAATCTGGCAAAGTTTAATTTGCTCATATTTTTAAAAATTGGCACATTGACTTCAGGATAACTGGAATGTATTTTAAAGGATATTTTTCATTGGGATTCTTCCACCAAACTTCCTCCCAATGTTTTAGTAACTGTTTTTTCTTCTTCTAAATGAGTTGAATATGATGTGTTTGGATTAAACTTATACTTCATTATCTAAAAAGCAAATTTCATTTATTTCTATTTTTTTCACGTTGCGTGCCATGCCTGCGTCTGGATGCACATATGCACAGCCTCATGGGTATGCTGTGGGCACCGGCGACTGCCATGTGGGGCTAGCACTCATGCACCTCCTGCATGTCGGTGTCCTATTTCTATGGAAGGTGATTGGGTAAAAACTGTGCCAAAAATAAGTTGTTAGGTGATTAGAAGACATCCTCTCCTTTCCTCTCTGAGTCTCTTTGAATGCTGCATCCATTTCTTTGAGGCTTTGATCATCTCTGAGCAGCAAGTTTAGTATTCTGCCTGCCCACTCTCCCTCCCCGACACGAGGGCAGAGACTCCTGCAGAATCTTCAGCAAGTTCTCTTTTGATGGTTCATTTCACAATACCCAGCAGGTTTCCTTGTGTATTTGGAAGCCTTTGGAACCAAACCCAGAGGAGAGCCCGCGCTGGGCTGCAGGGACCGCCTGTAAACAGGCACTAAGTGCGCGTCTTGGTTGCCGCCACTCCCATTAGCAAGTTATTGTGAATGTGACGACAGTGTGCAAGGTGGCTGCTGCTTGGGACGCTCTTGGGCCCGGGCTGATGGGCCAGGTCCAGATGCACCCTGACTGCTCACCTCTGCCGCGGGGAGTGGAGTTCTCTCAGGCAAGAACAGGTCACAGGGAGCACGTGCCCTTGTGGGTTAAGAGACCCTCCTTTTTCTAGGTGAGCTCAATCTCCCCCAGTTGGTGAGATCACTAGTCACAGAGAAGGCAAGAGCATAGGATGAGAAACAATGAGCTTGTTTCTCAGAAGCCTTTGCTGTTTCAGTCAACCCTGTGTCTTCGAGCAGTTGTCCTGGCTTTACATTTACACTTTCAGGTTGAAATAATATAGGTATTTATTTTTGGCAAATATTCAAGAAGCAAAATCTCTCCTGCTTTGAAAGGGGAAGGTGCCCTAGTCCTTTATTAAAGGACTTTCCTTTTATTTTAACGTAGTCAGGCCTGAGAATGGGAATTTTTTCTAGTTCCACCTTTGCAAAGCTAGCAGATGGTCTGCAGGCAGAGTTTGCTCCTCTTTCCCAATACTGCTGGTTTGCAAGAGTGAGTTTGTCTCCTCAGGTGTGCCCAGGTCCTGGAGGGAAGCTCTTTCTGCTCTTCCCAAGCCCATGCTGCCCTGAAATGTTCCTGTGCCACGCTGCAAATCCAGCAAATGCTAAATCATTGTTCAGTTGGTGCAGATTCCATGCCTTTTGAGGCAGTAATGTGACTGGGCAAGGAACAGTTGCCAGCTCTGGCCTTGCTGAGGGGAAAGAAGCAATTTTGTCCCCAACATCCAAAGAATCTGTCTGTGTTTGCTTACATGTTCAGCTTCAAAGGATCAGAGGGTTTCTGTAAGCTCAGGTGAATCTCCTAGTGCCTTCTGACTGTAGCAGAGCGGGTTCCTGGAAGGGGTTCACTGTAGCACCTTCCTCCTGTGACCCTAAACACTCGAGTGTGTGGTCATGTTCTGCAGCTATTCATGCAGCACGGCTCCTGCGTTCTTCAGAAAGCTCCCGGGAGTGGAAATGGATCCTTGAGATCACTGAGGTCTGGAGCGACTGCTCAGGAAACACTGAAGCACGCGGGAAAGCAGGTGGCCTGCCCAGTGCAGCAGGCCCCTCCTGGGACCAGACAGGAACAGTGAGGTCAGCCCACTCGGTGAGGGGTTTGGAAACGAGAGGCTGGAGCCCTAACACTCTCCAACCCGAGGCCTGGACACAGCGCTCTGTCCCTGTGAGGCTCACTGTGGTGACTGTGTTTTCGTGGTTGAT